TATATATATATAAACTTAACTTAAAATAGTTGTGGTCTGATTTTCATTTGGTCTGATTTTGTATTGTTTATAAAAATGGATGATTTTTTAAAAGGGAAATTGTACCAGGTAGTCACAATGTTTCCACAACATTCTATTTCTGGTAAACCAAATATGTAAATTGTGTGTCATTTCTTGTTACATTATTGGCATCTTTGATATGGTCTCCAGAACGTTTTCATAACATTTCACAATGTTGCATTTTAGTTGGTTAGGTTACATCATAGCGCAACAATGTGAAACTTTGCAAACTTTTTGCGCTTACAAGTCACATAGTAAACTGGATACAGAATCTGAAATTCATAAAGGCTTATGAGAGGTACAAGCAAGGAAAAATAGTAAATTACATTATAATAATGCAATTTTAGATGCTACTCATGCATAGTATCTGTGCCATGAAAGGGGCGAGAATACCACAGCCTGTAAAATTGGATCACCGGAGGTAATTACAAAGTCATATTGATGCAGTCTGGCTTGATAAATGATTTAAATTAAATTGTGACAATCAATTTGAGAGATTTAACAAATAAAGATAACTAGCTGTCGTTAATAGATGGAATTCAATCAGAGAGGATGATAATTTAACAGTTCAGTGGCTCTGCTCCACACACAAAATGAATTTGATGCATGAATCCATGTGACTGATAAACTGGGGGAAATTCTAATGATTCTAATGCATTAAATCATCATTTTGTGCTTACAATTAAAAAGTACAAAACTGAAAACATTCAAAATATTACTAAAAACTAAAATATTATTTCAATTATACTGAAATAACACTGGGAAATAGGTAGAAATGTCATTCAATACAGGGGAGGAAGAATCTCCTGAATTACTTGGACTATGTTAAATGGTATAAGTATCTGAAATAAGCACAAATGTCAGGGCATGTCAAATTATCTCAAGGGCCCCAAAATCTCCTCAGACCCCAGAGGGTTGAAATTACCTTTAGCAGGGTTCACAGATATCCCTGACTTGTATAGCATCTCCTCATTCTGCCAGTCATGGTTCCTCAACACGGTCTTAATCCCAAAAAGAAGGACCAGGGCTGCTGAGCAGCCTAGTACCAAAGTTCTGGAGGACTTCCTCCTCAATCTGACATATAAAGCTCTCATCCCCACTGCTACCAACAGGCAGAAGCCCATACTAGGGATGTACAGTACTCGCTCCGCCACCACGAAGCCTACGTAGAAGAATAGGTTGGTGGCAGGGATGAAGGGAATGGCCAGCAGACCCAATGAGAAGACCACCAAACTCTCTGTGGTGGGCAAAGATGATGAATAGTGTTTTGCAGTACCATTTGTTCCATTCATCTGCACTGAGTTTGAGTAAAAAGTTGAGTGTTCATAATCAGAGCTACAACTGTGTCCGTTTGTGGACTTCCCGTTTGCTACATGATGTGCTTTCCCATTGGTCTCCTTGCTTTTGGTTGGGTAATGGCAAAGCCCGAACCATGCCAGCGCTAAAAGCGAGGTGTAGAAGGCCACGGTGTGAAGGTTTCGCCAATCTGCAAGGCTCCGTACAAGAGGCAGCGCATCCATTGACCAATCAAAACTTAGCATGTCAGGGCACAGGAGGAGCCAAACGTTCATTGCAGGGAGAAAAAAGAATGTTAGCGTCCTAGTTAGGAAACAAGGACAGTCTGCTGCAGGGTTGTCCGAGTTGGAGAAGTTCGGAGGTTTGTTTCCCATCCAGTAAAGACGGCAAGCCAAAAGGATAACACCCCAGAAGCCCAGCAGAAAAACGCTCAACAGCAAGTGCAGGTTCTTCTTCTGAGAAACAAAAACAGAGAAAAACAACATCAATCAAAAGACAAAATTACTGGGATTTCAAAGAGGATGCAGCAGAATCAAACATATTCAAATTCATAAAATAAATTAGGCTGGGCAAATCCAACCTACTGTACATCATACAAAAAGGGAACTTGATTTCATTTAGAAAAAAAATAGATGGGTATTAAATAAAAAACATAATATAGCCATAACATAATATAAACCAAAAATAAATAAATAAATAAAATAAAACAAACAAAACTATCAAAATCAAAGACAAACAAAACTCAGCAAAGCAAAGCAAAAGTAAAGAAAACCAAACGAAATGACAATGAACCACAAACAAAAACAAAATGAAAAAGCAAAGGAAAGCAAAACAAATCAAAGCAAAGCGAAACAAATCAAAGCGAAGCAAAACAAATCAAAGCAGCAGAATCAAACATATTCAAATTCATAAAATAAATTAGGCTGGGCAAATCCAACCTACTGTACATCATACAAAAAGGGAACTTGATTTCATTTAGAAAAAAAATAGATGGGTATTAAATAAAAAACATAATATAGCCATAACATAATATAAACCAAAAATAAATAAATAAATAAAATAAAACAAACAAAACTATCAAAATCAAAGACAAACAAAACTCAGCAAAGCAAAGCAAAAGTAAAGAAAACCAAACGAAATGACAATGAACCACAAACAAAAACTAAATGAAAAAGCAAAGGAAAGCAAAACAAATCAAAGCAAAGCGAAACAAATCAAAGCGAAGCAAAACAAATCAATGTGAAGCAAAGCAAAGCAAAACAAAACAAAATTAAAACCAAAACAAACTAAAACATTTTCAACAGCATGTTATATCTGAATGAGTTTGTATTTTTTTTTTTGTTTTTTTATTTTTTTTTTTACAAATGAATGACATTAAGGAAAACATACAATGGAGGCTTTTTCTGAGAAACAAAACCAGGGAAAAAACATGAGCACAAAAACTGACTGGAATATTTCAAAAAGGATATGGCAGTATCTTTTGTTTCTGTATGACTTTAGGTTTTTCAAATCCTTGTGCTTACATCTGGACAAGGTTTTATTACCAATACCAAGATTGACCAATAAGCCAAAAAACTCCAACTGCATTAAATATTAAATAAAAAACAGTAAGTAAACTGAGACCGGAAAAATAAACACTGGAGCCCAATCTGGAACACAAGCAGCCTTCATGAGCAATTTGTTGGGGTCTTAAGAGTTGTTCAATACATACTGTACCACATGCACGCACTACAGTTTCATTGTGACATCAAACCTTGCGAGGCCTGTGATGGTTAACGAGAATCAGCCCTTTGCATCTCCAGTCACTGCAAACAATTTAAACTCTTGGCCAAATGTAGACACACATTTTCCACATTTTTCAGAGAGGCCAGAATAATAAACGTAGTGTCACTGACTGCTGGTCAGCTTGACGTCACAACACAAGGCAGCGCCGCATTCATCTCCGTCTCATACAGCCGGCTTTTATAGACTTTATAAAATAAACAAGATATGGCCTCATAAAGGTGCCAATCCATCATACTGCAGCGCTGATATTAAACACTCCAGCATGAAAATGATTTGAGTATTTATGGAGTGTTTGAATATTTTACACGTTAAGTAAAAGGAGGGGATATTGACCAGTTTCATGGTAGAGCAGTTGCAAAGTTCAGTACGCCTTCCTTTTCGTGTTGATTTTGGATTGTGGATACCCTCAAGCAATTTTATGACTTCCTCCTAACACGGAACTCATTCGGTACTGACGGCAAACAAACACGCAAATGATTACTTCAAGGCCTTCGTCAATCACCATTAAAAGGGATAGTTCACCCAAAAATGTACGTTCTGTAATCTTTTTTTTATGTTGTTCCAAACCTTTTTGACTTTCCTCCTCCTGCAGAATACAAATGGAAATGTTAGGCAGGATGATAACACTGCTTAAAAAGCAGAATAAGAGTGAAGGAAGTCAGAGAAATGACAGAAATCATATGTCTTGTAGCATTCGTCCCTATTCACTTTAAATGTATGGAAAAGAATAGAAAAAAGTCTAATTTTGTATTCCACTGGTTTGGAACAATGTCAGTAAATCATGAAAATTTTCATTTTTATTTCATAACCCTTACAATATGTTATGTACATTTGGAAAACACTCATATTAAAGATTAATGTTGGAAAGCTTTCCCTAATGATTATTTGTGAACCATTTTGTCAGTCTATAACACCATTTATTGCAACTTACAGCGAAATACTCCTCTTCCCAGCTGACTCACTAACAGAATGAATGCGAGACAGTGAGTATGTGTTCTGCATTAATGTCCAGCTGCTTTATACAGAATAGATTTTTTGTCCTGGTTTTGGTCATCTCTGGTTTAGACAAAGAGCACATTTTTACTCGCAGGGGAAATGTCTGTAACAGGCCACTTCCCATGTAATCATGTTATGTAGCACAGATGTATAGAGCATGTCCCGAATGACATAACCTTTACAATAAGACCTGACACAGCTCTGAATCTGTGATAGAAAGAGTCACATGTCACCAAGAGAAAAATAAAAATTTGAAAACATTTTTTTGTTTAAAGATAGATAGTGTTTTATATTTTTACTGAATGAATACTTAAAACAATAAAAAAATATAATAACTAATACGTTTAGAAATGTACTTTTTGGTGTGAAATAATTTTTTATTTTGTATATTTTTTTACATTCAATTTTAATTTAAATGTTTTGTCTGTAAATAATTTTTCTCACTAAATGAATACAGACAAAAAAAAAACAGACATAAAATAAAATAAAATCTACATGAGAGCTATTTAAAATGTAAGCTTGTTCTTTTGTTTTGCAGCACACTTAAAGAAAACTATGTCTGTAAGACATATCAATCTGTCACCAATTAAAGTCTTGGACAACATCAAGTTAATAACCTGTGTCTCTCAGTTCCTGTGACATCTGTTTAAGTTTACTGACCGAAGGCATGATGGGCGCATTAAAGATGAATACTATAACAATAGAACTACAACAATAGCTTGAACACATACAAAATCAGTGCAGATAGAAATTAACATAATAAATATTTAAATTAATAAAAATGGTTTGCATGATAAATATAAGATCTGAAGGTGCTTTGATTTCGTGCATACAGTACAGCTGGCCGTTTCAGGGGGAGCGTGCACATCCCAGCGGAGTGAACTGTAGGCTGAAGGGAAGAGGTCGTAAAGGGACCATCCCACAGGGGTCTTGAAGCAGCAGGCTACAGAGGCCGAGCGGAACAGTCCGACTGAAGAGAAACACAGAACTAGTTTGAGGCAGGTCTAAACTGCATTGGTATGAAGGTCACAAATGCCCACATACTGTATATCTCTAAAATGAAAATTAGTTAGAAGAAAATACTACAGTAAGTAGAGCTTTCTGAAATTAGCAATTAAAATGTTCTCGAATAAACAGTTCGGTAATGATTCTTAAACTACCAATATTGATAATTTAATCCATGCCTTTTCATGGGTTAAGAATTTTGTAAGTACATTATTTATACTAATAAATATATATATATATATATATATATACATATATATATATACACATATACACACACACACACACACACACACACGTCAACGACGACTTTCATGCAGCATTTTATTGGTACAAAATACAAAGCTGTAAGCTCAAAGCTGTTTTTGCTGCCTTGCAAGCTTTGCTATTTCCTTTTGGTTACACTTGAAAGTCCTCACATACTTCACTACATCTGTAGTACAGAGGCAGTTCCTGTCCCTAATTAGTGAACTACCACAGTAAGAGAGCGACGATCACACAGTATATAGGCATAATTACATCCTTGGAGTCAAAGAATTCATACCAGGAAAAAGGCTTTCAAAATGTCTTCACGTCTAATGACACTTCTCTCCTGAATGTTTCTCTTCATAGATATGGGATTTTCAAAGGTGCCAGGAGAGCTTTGGGGTGATGCATCACCATCTTCATCTAGCACTGAAGGATTGTGAATTCAAACGGATTAAAGTACGAGAGACATTCATACATTTCAACAGGTATAAATCTCTGCAAATAAGTGCGGTGATGTGGACGCATCTGTCATTTTAGTGCACATACGAGCAAATGACTGAACTCCACATGACCCTGTTAGCCAATCTCACCAAAAGTCTGTAAATATGGGCTGTTTCTTGCGCACACACATATAAATATATAAATAAATAAAAACTCGACTCAATACAAATTATCGGTGGTCTAACGGTGCTTAAGCTCAGTGGGGGTGAGACGGCGCGAGTGAGACGGATTGCGGAGGCTGAAGATGTGTCAGTGAGGTCATGCGGGAGTGTGAATGCTTGCACACAGGATTCTCGCTGGATTTATGAGGCGGCTGCAGGTTTGGGACTGCACAGGCTCTCGAGAACCAGCAGGAGTTTTTAGTACTTGCAGGTTTGGAGCCAAAACACATAGACCCTGGGATTTGTGTAGGTTTCAATCTGTGTGTGTGTGCACTCTCAGAAGATACTATGCATGTACAAAATACTATATTTCAAAATGAAATCAAAATTGTGTTCCTGGTAAGGTTATTATCATTAGACTGTGTTAATGGAAATAAAGCTAAAATAAATAAATACTAAAATAAATAAATAAATAAATAAATAAATAAATAAATAAATAAATAAACAAACACACACGTTTACAAAAGCACAAACAAAATGACTAAAAATTAAGTGCACAACACACACACACACACACACTTACAGAAGTTCAAACTAAATTACTAAAAGAAACTAAAATTAAAATGTAAAATATTAAAAATGAAAAAAATATGTCAAAACTATAAATGTTTTTAATACCACAGATTACTGATATTATGTATAATTAATAATTCAAAACCATCTTATTTTCAAATTATTTCATCAAAATGTAAATACTTTCTCTGCCTTTGACACTTGTTTTAAGTTCACACAGTTTTTGTTGTATGGGTGATGTAACA